AGCTTTGGGCTGTCGAACTTCTGCCTTACCCCTCTAAGCCAGGGCTGACCTATATGTTTCATGGCTACAAGTGTTTTATAAATGGTGCATGGAAGGAGACAGATATTTCTCAGGTTTATAGGTTGAGTTTATACTCATGAGTCATGATGATCATATGGATGGATCTCTTATTAGAGCTAGAAACCTTCGCAAATTACTTTTCCTTTTCCGTGTGGAGTTGGAAAAACTATAGTGGGTCATGATGTGTATTAACTATTATAGAGGAAAACAATATGTTTCCTAATAGAATGCATATAAAACTCAAGGAAATGACGACTTCTCTAGTTGAGTCATGAGTGGCCATCTTTTCCAACATAAAGTTTGTTGAAAAAACCGACATGGAACACTTGTTCAAGACTTTTTTTTTTTTCCAAGACTTCTCTAGTTAAGATCTGTATTGTCAGTTTGAATTACCGAACCATCTATACTAGTATAATCGCATCACTTTTTGTGACGGGTGGGTAAAAAAGCTTTCGGGTATATCGGATATTCAACCCATTTTAAAAATTCATTCACAAAAAATTTGTTGGGTCAGGTTATATTTAACCCAACTCATATACCGGATATTCCATATTTAATAATTTAGATTTTTAGAAGATTTGATTAAGATTTATAATTATGATTCTCCTATCATTTTTGTTTGATTTGTTTTTAACTGTTTTGAATCATCATATAATACATAAAGTAAAAAAAAAAATCAATTTTTTTTTTGCATATACTGTGATTCGAAATTTTTAAAACGGACATATATTATCCAATTGACGAAAATGTGTGTTCAACGTTCTACATCGATTAAAATATTTAGACAATGATTCAGAATCATATCATAAATAAGAACATTAATAAAATAAATGAGTTTTTTGGCGGGATGGGTTTGGGGGGACGGATTTTTGAATCAACAATAATAAAAAGATTAAAATATCATTAATCCGCCGCTTCAATACGGATTTAATCCTTATTTTTTTTTAATACAAATCACAGGACGAGTTAAGAAATTACGGAACGGGTTATATTTCGGAAATGATTTATATGGCGGACGAATTTGAATCAATATTTATATACCGCTTTAATACGGGTTAAATCCTCAGTTTATTAATAATTATCTCGTGGACTCGTGGTATACCGTTACTTAATAACAATTGTAAACTATAATATAAATAAATATGTTATAAAGAGATACAATTTACAAAATATTTTTATACTAACTTTAAAATTAAATCATTCTGCGGTGTACCGCGGGTGAAAATCTAGTTTTTATTATAAAATTCTGTTGACAATAAAGAGTTTCTATTAATTTTAAAATCCGTTACCAAAATAATTGTTTAAACTAATAAACATTATACCATCATGTTGTACGTGATTTGTTACGCTATGTACGATTGTCTGTTTAACCTATTCACTAGATCCGGATCCGCACGTACGTGCGAGGTTTCATATTTTGAAAACTGTGTTGTATAAAATTTATAATTAAATTTGTTTTCTTTTATTAGTATATACGAAATTGTTTCATGTAGTACCGGTGAATTAGAGAATAGTATAGATATCAA